TATTCTACTATACCTTTATTGACTCAAAGTAATTCATTGACGTGACAAAAAATATTCTTCAGTTGGAAATGTATTTATTAACCAAAGAAATTGGAAAATATTGCTTCACAATAAACTGTCAGACATTTTTTTCGAATTTCGAAAATGGACAGCAGCTTGTTTTGTTTGACATTTACGAAACGTCCACATGTTTATTGTATGGAATGCACGTTTATCGTACAAACAACACGTTTATGGTTAAAAATTCACCGTAAGATTTAGGGAAATATCTATAGTTAATCAATCAAAATGTCACTACTTCGTATAAAGTAAGTAATAAAATGAAAAGAAGAAAATTTTAACAAATTGGTCAGTCTTATTGATGTATTTCTTCTCTTTTTTCCCAAACAGAAAGCCGACCACACACAAGGGTAAAAAAGTTCTCTTGAAACGTGAGCCACAGATCAAAGAAGATGCAAAAAACACGTTAATTTTGGAGGGTCGAAAGAGTTCTGGACATATAAAGCAAGCGCTGAAGGATTTTTATCAACTAAAAAAGCCGCTGTGCAAAAAACTGACTCGCAGCAATGACATCACACCATTCGAAGATACAAGTTCATTGCAATTTTTGGTTGAAAAAAATGATTGCACTTTGTTCATGTTCGGTTCATCGTCAAAAAAGCGTCCCGACAATTTGGTATTGGGTCGAATATTCGATCAAGAATTGTTAGATATGGTTGAATTGGGTATTAAAGAGTTCAAGTCGATGAGCGATTTTCACAATGAAAAAATTGGCACTTGTGTCAAACCATGTTTGGTATTCAACGGCCCAAAGTGGAATCAAACCGAAGAAATGCGTCGACTTAAATCATTGTTCATTGATGCATTCCATCGTGAAACAGTAAACGCCATACGGCTACAAGGCATTGAGCATGTGCTGAGTTTTACACTGACTGAAGACAATCAGATTTTAATGCGTTCATATAAAATTGCGCTGAAAAAGTCGGGCTTGAAAACGCCTCGCATTGAAGTCAACGAAATTGGGCCATCAATTGATTTTTCCATTCGACGCACGAAGATAGCTTCTGAAGATCTCTATAAGTTGGCACGAAAACAACCAAGACAATTGAAAACGGTGCAAAAGAAAAACATCTCCAGAGATCAATTGGGCAATACACACGGTCGTGTGCATGTGGGTAAACAAAACATTGGAAAAGTGCAAACCCGTAAAGTGCGAGCGTTGCGGAAGACACCAGCAGAAAAGAAATCAAAACGTCAAGAGAAAAAAGCAGCCATTAAATTGGCCAAACAAAATGCTGAATAATTTTTATGTTTATTTTATTTTGATGATTTCAATAAATGAAACGTTTTATTCCAATAACACATTCGGCTTTTTTTCACACATTTCATTCAAAAATTAGCTCTCACAAGCATACAGGCAGGAAAACGCAAAGTCAAAAGATACAATAATTTTTGTTTTGGTGTTCTTTTTATTATGAAAACAATAGTTTTTTTTAATATTAATGTAGCGGTTTTTGCTTTCCAGAATTATTTTGTTGGTTTCTCTTTAATTGATATTGATTGGTTTACAAAAAAATGTATTGAATGTTGAATTTACTGTAAATTCATTCAGCGTCTTCTTGTCGATTTCAAATGTTTTTAAACATGAAAAAATAAGCACTTAAAGTAATTAGTACAGGCCTTCGGCATTTGATGAGCGTGGTTTTTTCAATTTTTCCAAATTTTTGATGACAATGTCATGCAGCGAAGAGTATCGATTGCGCACTTCACACATAACAAGCCAGAGACTGAGAAACTGCTTTTCGTCCATTTCCTGTAATAAACAGATTTATAAATTAGATGATGCACGGAATTGTTATGGAATGAATGGCTATGAATAATATACGGTACCTGTACAGCTCGGCGGTAATCGTCGATATGCGGGTATTTGGCCACCTTTGATACAATTTTAGCGCGTGATATGAAGTACCGTGATATTTGATCGAAAAATGCGGCTGCTTCACTCTCTACACTTTGGATTTCGCCTAATGTCTCTTCTTGAACCGCAACACCGAAATTGTTACCATCTTCAATCTTTGGAACTGTAAAAAGTGCATCAAGTTTGTATGTTATTCAGTTACTTGGCTAAGTAAGTGAAAGGCACTTACTCATAAAGGAAATCCACATTTTCAGCAAGTTTGAGTCCTCCACCAGTTCGCGAATAAATGGCTTGACGACGGTAATCAAATCACAAATCGGTGTATTACATGTAACTTTTCCGGATGGCAGTATCAACACTTTCGTTCCCGACGGTCCCATTTGTGATTCTGTTGCTGCCTTTGTGCTATCTTCGGTTCGGGCCCGTTTTGCTGGTATGGCTTCAAAATCGTTGACATGATTTTGTAAAATTGCATCTGGCACGGGAATGTTTAGGTCCTGAGGATAAATTAAATAAAACAAGATATAGACTTGATATTCCCCTATTTCACCAATCACACATCATTCATGACTCACCTGATGAACATCGTGTAAATTACGATTGGCAAACATTTGTGTTTCCAGCAATTCATTGAGACGAACGATTTTCTCCGGAAATCCAACAGTTATTAGATTTTCGGCTTTTTTGATCAAGCCATCTTTGTACTCTTTTACCTAAAAAGCGAACAAAATCATTGTTTGAATAAGTAGCTGTATTTTGAAATGGTTCTTAACATAACCTCAATGTTGACGATAATTCATGTTAAAACCTTAATAATGTATGCCAACAACAACTAACACATGACAATAACGCAATAATCTATTCGTCACATTTAAGAATTCGTGGAAATTGTTCAAGCTGACTTAAAACTTGTGTTTTAAACATTCAAATACAATTTCGTCATGGAATATATTTGCGAATAACACTTTTATGGTTAAAATATTAAAATTTAGTTTATTGTAAGCAAAATAATTCACATATATTTCATCACCATGAGAAAATCTCACCTTTTTTACTGTTTCCGATTTTTCCGACATATTGATACACAAATAATCGAAACGAGATTAGAACTAAATGAAGACTGGTGTTGAACGATAAATTTACGAAATTAAGCAAGTTTTTTTTGCGTGTGGAAATGTACGATATTTGAGTGCAGATGGGAACGAAACAGACGCAGTCCTCTCTATGGCTGTGTTCGACTGTTGCTGATACATCAAATCCAATTCGAATTCGAACTGTCAAATCCAATTACGAAAAATAAAAACTCCAATTCTATGATTTTCGAAAAACCACTCAATTGACCATTCAAATAAGGAGTTTTCGAGAATTTTGGTTGTTTATCGTTTTTGAATAAATCATTCAAATTTCAATCATTTAATATTTATTTTTACGGTGAAAAAGAATAAATTCCATTGAAAAAAACTGAAACCACTTTCAAACCACTTTTTTCATACATACTGATTGAGTAATACATGAGTTTTTTTTGTTTACAATTAGATTTAGGAGAATTCATTTAACCGAGACAATTGTTGATGTTCACTTCCAACAACAAGAAAATTAATCCTTGACCAGTGTTAATATTTATGCTTATCTCTTGTGAAGTTTGTTTGATAATAACTACAGCATCGTATCGACAGCGCAATTCACACAACACACATCAGTCTCTTTAAATAAAGAAGACTGTGAACTTAGTGTTCATTTTGTCACTGAATTGATTACATCAAAATGATTTCTTTACATCACAACATTTGGTTATTAATTATTTGCTGTGCTTTCAGCGTGAGTTTTATATGTAGTTTGAATAATATAACCTATTTTCTGCTTAATTTTTGAAAATATATCATAGAATAAACAGTGTATAAAAAAATATGTATATATTTCAAGGTCAATATTTATTATTACACAAATATTTCAAGTACTTTAATCGTATTATGCATCTCTAAAACTGCTTTTTTCAGTTTGGAGTTGAAATAGAGCAATTGCCATCGCCTCGAAGTTTGTGTGGAGAAGGGCCACATTGGGATCAAGCAACTCAAAGTTTGTATTATATTGACATTGAAGGACCCGAAGCAACTATTTTGCGTTACGATTATGGCGAGAATAAAACATATGCGGCAACAGTAGAAAATGTTCCATTGATGACATTTGTTTTACCGATTGAAAATAGCACCGATGAATTTTTGGTTGGTGGACAGTATGCAGCCAAAGTCATTCGCTGGGATGGCAAATCAGCCAAGGGTGAATTCGTTCGAGATGCCTTCGAAGTAGATAAGATTGATACCAATCGATTTAATGATGCCAAATGCGATGCGGCTGGTAGATTTTATGGCGGTACTATGCGTTATAGAGAGTGTAACGGACCATTTACTGAC